ATGGACTGGCCCCGGCCCTGGCTGCCACGGCTCTTCCCGCTGCTGTGCTGGGGTGGCTGAGAGATCACATGGCCTCACACCCTGCTTCGGGCCCCCAGGAGCTCCTGCTGCACAGGTGGCCTCCAGGCACTGGTCCCCCACCACGCCCCACAACGCTACTCTGGCTGCTACCTCGCCTCCAGGGTCTGGTCCCTGGGAAGGGCTGCCCTTCACGTCACACACCTCTCAGTTTGGGGACCTGCCCTGACCCTCCGTCCTGACACCCTTTCATCTCCCCCATAGCAGTGGTCACTCTGGGGACCCTGCCCCTTGACCCTTCCCCATGGGCGTGGCCTGCCTTGGCCACGGCCTCCTGGGCACCTGCTATCTAGCCGGAGCTGGCAGGGGCACACAGGTCGCTAATGTCACAAGGGAATGAAAGGCCAGCAATCAAGTGAGCGAGTCCCAAAGCCCCGTCTGTCCACACCCAGGACGCCACCCAGATCCTGACGCCATATTCTTCCGCTGGTCTCCCGCCTTCACTGCCCTCCGCATCTCACCAGCTGCGTCTCCCCAGAGCCAGCTCTGACCAGGTGGTGCCCCACCATGGCTCCTCGGCACGTGCGGCCCACGGCCCACACTCAAGGTCACCACCAGACCCCATTCTCCTCCTAACCAGCCATCCACCCGGGCCGTCGCTATCCACCATCCTGCGTGGCGCACGGACCATCCCCAGCTGCCCGCACACCCAGTGTGGGGGAGGGGACAGCCCGGCTCTAGGAATTGCTGGCAGACTTTCCTGATGCTAGGGGTCAGCAGCAACTGGTTTCCAGGGGCCCGCAGGTCGGGTGACAGGAGGCTGTATCATGTGTTCTGGGCTGGCCCGGTGGGCCTACCCTTGGTCTCCCCAGGAGGGGCAGGGAGGGGCAGAGAGGGGCTCCCAGGGAGGCAGGTCGGGGCGAGGCAGAGCGGGGATGGAACACGGGAGAAAGGCAGAAGCTGCCAGCGCGTGAGGGGCTCAGGTGAGGGGAGCACCGGAGAAGGCGGGCCAGGCAGCAACAAATGCTTCCAGAGCAACCTGGTGTGTGTGTGGGGGGGGGGATGGCATCATTGGCCTCTGATGGGCAGGGGGAGGCTGGGAGACTTTCTGTGACACGAGCAACCACTGTGCACAGTGCACACACACCCTCGGCCGGCCAGCCTCCCATCTGTCACCAGGGGCGCCTCTGAACCCAGGGCCCCAGGGCTGCTGGCGGGCCTGCCCCTCACTGGAGACAGCGGCCCGGGGTTTCCCTGTGTCCCTCCCTGCCCGGCCAGAGCCAGACTCTCCCTCGTCTGACAGCCACCCCACCACTCCTGGGGGCCGGAGAGCATCCCTGAGCCTGGAGAATACACACTGCAGGGGCCTCCCCACCAGGCTGAAGGGGGCCCGGGCCTGGGAGTCTGTGTTTCATCAGCTCCCGGCAGATTCTTCTCTGCAAGTCTGAGAAATGCCCACATGGCAAGTGATCAGACCTGGTTAGCACCTTTCTTATCAGCCTGGTGGGGGTGGGGGTGGGGGCCTTTGTCACGCAGGCAGGGAGGTGGCGGGGAGGGGACGGACCCAGGTCTCAGCCCCTCGGAAACTGGGCGGGGTATGAAGACCACCCCGACCCCACAGAACCCACGCCCGATCGCCCACACGTCCCAGCACACCCCCCCC